AGGCAAAGACAATATTTGTGTACTAAATTGTCAAAAATCAATTTTTTAAATTTTTTTAAAGAGCTGGGTCTGGTGGTATATGCCTTTAATCCCAGCAGAAACAGGTGATCTCTGTGAGATTGAAGCCAGCCTGGTCTACATAGTAACTTCCAGGCCAGTTGGGGCTACAGAAAGATTATCTCAAAAAAAAAAAAAAAAAAAAAAAAGTGAATGAACTCACACTTAGGGACATCTGGGGACACAAATTGACTCAATAGGCTTTAACATATATGCTAGAATGCATGAAATCTGGTGGAGGGGCTATGGGAATGTAGATAGGGGATGATCTAAACATGATTAAGATGTATTGTATGACATGCACAAAATTCAATAAAAAATTATATTAAAAAACAAAAAATGTTTCCATAGTAAAAATAAAATAATTCATTGTTTGAAAAAATAATGAAAAAAGTAATGAAAGAAATAAATAAAGGGATGGAGAGATGGCTCAGCAGTTAAGAGTACTGTCTGCTCTTGCAGAGGACCCAGGTTCCATTTCAAGAACCCACATGGCTGCTAACAACCATCCATAACTCCAGTTCCAGGGAATCTGATGGTCTCTTCTGACCTCTGTGAGCATTTCATGACACGGGTGCACTTGTGCTGTGAGATGCTTCACCAGAAAAGACCACTCAGACAAAGTTTTGCCGAATGAAAGTCACTGCTAGCCAGGGCTACTACACTAACCAATAGGGAACATTAGGTAGTTTGGGGCTAGGGTGATGATACAGTAAGTAAAATGCTTGCTACATAAGCATGAGGACCTGTGTTCAAATCTTCAGTATACATGAAAAAGCTAGATGGGGTGGCACACATCTGGAACCCCAGCACTAGGGGTGAGGTATATGGAAATAGGAGGATCCTGGCATCTCCCTGGCCAGCCAGGTTGTAACGCCAAATTCTCCCTTGGGAGACCCATGCACACTTTCTTGGCTCCCAGACCCACTTGGTCCTAATGCAGACTGACCAAACCAATACAATGTCCCTCTATGTTAGAGTTTGGGGAATAAGAATATTTATTTGGGCTTGCCAGCAAAAATTATGCTATTCAGGAGCAGGCGGTCACTTACAAAAGCATGAACACCCATGGGCTTTTTCCCCCCTACATCTCAGCTGAGTTCTTGAGAGGTGCTGCCACCAGCACACCACCAGCACTGTGCCCCGTCTCACCAAGATGGAGACTTTTCACCATTTCCCAGCTTCCTCAGCGCTTCCTGGCTTCCTCAGCACTGTCCTTAGACCTTACCCCTCCTGCAATTGAACCTGATTGAGTGGGAGGGGTGATTGTCTCCCCCCCAAGTCTCTTGGGGTTCAGTGCTAGTTCTCTTGGAAGACATGCCTACCCAACACTCCACACCTTCCTCCAGCTCTCACAATCTTTCCCCCAATCTTCCACAAGAATCCCTGAGCCTTGGAGGGGGTGAGAGATCCAGGATGATCTTTCTTTTATTGTAGCGAGATACTGAAGACCTGAGCCTCCCCATCATTCATCTTAAAAACATGGCTGTTGATCCATCTCAGTGGTGTCTCCCCTGCTATAAAGACAAATGAAAGGAAGCAGACATATCTAAACAAACACGGGTGCAAATACAAATGCCTAGAAGATACCACAGCAGGTGTACCATATTTAGCAAACAGAATATTTGCAGCAGCTTCTACACAGGGGCCTCGAGCCTTCCCTGACACAGGGGCCTGGCCTGGTCTACAGCACTATATGTGTGTTCAACCCCTAGGAGCCAGCCTTATCCAATTAGAAATAGTCAGTTGTATATATGTTAGTCAAGCCATTATTGCACCAGCAGGCATTGCTTGGCACACCAATAGTGTGCAGCATGCAGTGTCCAATGTTGATCAGAATTATAAGGGATCCTTCTCCCCCAACCATCTGCATAGCACCTTCTGACCATTCCACAGGGGACTGCTCCCCGCTGTACTGGCCTAGGTTAAACAGCCTATGTCTCAAGAATGTATTAATGGTTATACAACTCAGCTGTGGTGCTTCTGAAGGACTTAAACTAATATTATTTGTTCCCATGTCCCATATCCTCATGAGCCACATGGTGAGGGGCTCTTTCATTGCTTGTTTGAGAGTCTTTCCTACTCCCAACAGCTCCCGTGTAGAGTATTTTCTGCTGGCTACAGTATTGTTAAGGCTTTTATCAGCAGGTTGAAACATGACTTTTTTCTCTTTTTGTATTAAAGGTTGAATGTGAGGGGCATCTTTAGCTATTTTTATTTCTAATTCATTTCTTTTCTCACTACTATCTGTCTCTTTCCCTGGGTCTTTTGCTGAGTCTTGTATCACAGGTCTAATCTGGGCTTTCTTTCTCTCATGATTTATTCAGTTTATTTGCAAGCTCTGAGGCTAAGACTGAATTTCCCAGTAACTCCTTAGTCTTTTCAGCCTCTCCTGGGCTGTTGCCTTTGCCTTGGACAAGTGTTTTATTATGCAAAGAAGTGGCCAAGCCACCTCAGCAACCTTTTTTTTCCTTTGAATTCCCCTTTTGCTTCCAAAGCCTAAGCCTGTAAAAGTTTTTCCAGGCTTACCACAATCCTTAAAGAATTTTCAAACATGCACGTCAGTGGCCCCATCTTTCAAGCAGCTGAGCTATTTTACACCATTTACAGGATGGCGACCATGCAGAAATTTTCTCCATTGAATCTATCTGCGTAGCTGGCCTCATTTTAGTTACAAATTTATCTATCAATCGTATAACCCACATGACTTTTACTAACCCCATTAATGTATGGGGGTTGCCCACATTTTCTCCTTGGCTCCCATCAGCTTCTCCAGGATCGGTTGCATCACCACACTAGATGCCTCAAGATGTCCATCACTGCCCCTCTGGATTTGGGGATCTGAACCCCAGGGCTCCTGCCAGCTTCTCTCTAACAGAGACATACCTATTGCTCTTCCCAAACTCCTGCAGTTTGTCACTTATCTGGCCATACTACATCAATTTGTTGTGTCAAACTCCCCCTTGAGAGACCTGCACAGGCTCTCTGGGATCCCAAGGCCACAAGCCCCTAATGCAGACTGACAAACGGACATGATACATTCTATTTGAGTTTTTGTGTAGTTTATGACATCCAAGAAAGCGTTACTTACACAGGCATGATCACCCATGAGGCTTGTTTTTACATCTCAACTAAGCTTTGAGATCTGTCGTCCACCAGTGGCCTACCAGCTGTCTGAGTGCCCAGTTCACCAAGATGGCAACTCTCCCCTTTTTCCCAGTGTCCTTAGCACTTCCCAAAGTCCTTAGCACTTCCCAATGCCCTCAGCATCTATCCTTAGACCCACTCCCTCATGACTGATTGGGTGGAGGAGTGACTGTCTTGGAGGACCCGCCTACCAAACAAGGTTATTCCCACAGTCCTTAATTACCTTCCAGAATTTGATGGTAAAACCCTATTGCTGAATATAGGACATACTTCGGACACAGGATTTGGAGCAATGGAGCTGGGACTGACCTGGAAGCCACCTCCCCTGAAGGCTAGCTCTCATAACTTTGGAGAGCACTACACAAGCTGCTAATGGAGACCATCAATTGATGATCCAACCCCAGCTTCAAGGCCTAAAAACCACATCAATGCCCAGCACAGCAAATGAGTGGTGGCACATTCATCTTGGGGATAATAAACAGCTACCTAATTGGACTTAACATTCACTAAATGGGAGTAAATTCATGTGTAGTACTGTAAACCCAGCCAAATACATATAGCCAGAGAGGTCATAGATAGACCATAGATAAAACTCCAAGGCTGTCATATCCCTAGACAAATGTAATTTCTTACTATGTGCAAAATATGGATCCTTAAATTTTTAGACAAGTATCCCAGTCCCCAACCATCACAGAAGCTTCTTCTACCAGTGAAAGAAATAATTACAGAGTTCCACAACTGATCATACACAGAGATTGCCTGTGAATTGTCCAAGTCTAAGTGGCACATCTATGATGCAGCCTCTACACCTAAGGCTCACAGAACATAAAACAAGGGATGAAGAGAACACTAATGCATCTTTTGATTCTCATCAATAAAGTTCCCTCACGCAACAGAGGGCCAGAAACGCAAAATGTCACAAATGGCCAAAATGCTGACAATAAGAGTCTTCAGAGTGTGGGTCCTTGGACAGATCTCCTATACTGAGGTCCAGCCACCCACAGCTCAGGGACCATTGCAAAAGAGGAGGTGGAAAGATTGTAAGAGCCAGGGAGGAGGTGCATGGCCACACAGTAATGGTCCTACAGGTGCCTGGGACCCTTCTCACACAAACCTACAGCAATCATATCAGCATGAACAAGACCCATGCAAACTTAGGCAGACAAAAACCCAGCACAGAACTGCAGAAATGAACAGCAAGCCCTAATCTTAGACAAAGAGTTATTTCAGCTGATTACTTTACTGCTGGGTGAGGAAGAGCTGATCTTCTTAAGGGGGGCACTCTAGATAGACTGACTAGACCCCAGTGGGTAAACTTGCACTGAGGGACTTTACAGGATAAGCCTTAGCACAAATGACAGAATGTATGAACTCCAGTGGCGGGGGGGGGGGGGGGGGGGGCATGGCTATGGGAGGGTGCCAAAGGGGAAGGGGGTATAAAGATGATTTTCTGTCTGAAATACACAACAATTCAATTTAAAATTTTTTAAAGTTAAACATAAAAAAGATTCGTCATATTATGTGATCTATTCCCAAAGTTGGATTATTAAATAGACATGGCTACTAAAAACCAACCTGTTCCTTCCTTGAATTATAATGACCTGCAGGCATTTCAGCCAACCCCTTGGCACTGCCCATGGATAAATTATTAAGTCTCACAGTCTCAGGTAAGTAGATCTGAAGGCCTAAAACTTAATGAACCATTTTCCCTAGTGACTCAGGTATTTTATCTACTTCTGGATCATATCTCCTTAAAAGCTAAAATTCTCAGTAATCAGTCTTTCCTGTCCTTACGGTCATCTATGCTTTGGAAATAAGACATAAACCACTTGCTCTCTAATCTGTTTTGTTTTGACCCCATAAATGATGGGATTTAGCATAGGTGGAGCCAACATGCTGACGTTGGCCAGCAGGATATGGACATGCAGAGGAATGTATCTTCCAAAGCGCTGAGTGAGAACAGAAAAGATCCCAGGCCCATAAAAGAGGAGGATGACACAGACATGGGAACCACAGGTATTGAGGGCTTTGTGACGAGCATCTTGAGAAGGTATGTGGTAAACAGCACGGAGAATCAGAACATAGGAAACGAAAATGAAGACAATATCTAATATCACTGTTGACATTAAGACAAAAAAGCCATACCAGGTGTTTACTCGGATGTCGTAGCAAGCATACTTTGCCAAGCCAATATGTTCACAGAATGTATGTGGGAGGATGTTATTTCTGCAAAACGTCAACCTTTTTAGAAGAAAGATGATGGGGAAAATGGTACAGTGTGCCCTCAAGAAAACAGCCACACCAATTTTACTAGTCAGGGCATGAGTAAGTATCACAGTGTATCTTAGTGGGTAGCAAATTGCAACATAGCGGTCAAATGCCATCATCAGCAAGATGCCTGACTCAGAAATAAAGAAGGAATGCTGGAAGTAGAGCTGAGCAATGCAACCATTAAGAGAAATTTCCCTATCATTGCACCAGAATATGGCCAACGCCTTGGGTTCTGTGGTGGTGGCAAAAGCAATGTCAATTCCAGCCAGCATACAGAGAAAAAGATACATGGGTTCATGGAGGCTGCTTTTTGTCAGGATAATGAAGATCAACAAACCATTCCCAAGGAGAGCAAGGACATAGGAGATGCACAGGGGTATGGAAAGCCACATATGTAGGTCTTCTCTTCCTGGAATGCCCAGCAGATAGAAGACTATGTGGTTGACCCCAGTGTGGTTGTTGCTGGCCATTCCTGAAGGAGGCTAATGGGGACTCTATCTTGACCTTTACCTAAAAGAGACATTAACGCAGGTTGTACATAAATAAATGTTTTCCTTGAGTTCTGTACTTAAGTATATCAAATTCAATGCCTTGCCTATACCACCATTTCCTCATAATATCCCCTTTAAAATGTCAGCAAAATAATAAAAACACAATAAGTATAGGAAGCAATAGACAATATCAAAGAAATGGCAGCAATATTTTGAAAGCAAATTGATGACTATAACAAAACAATGGGTTAAAACTAGCAGCTTCTAGTTGTGAAACCTCCCAACTGCCACTCAGAGAATCTTAGATTGGAGGCCTATGAGCTAACTGGTGCCTGTTGTGAGGACTTAGCTTCTGCTTCTACCCACAGTAAAACCCTGGGGGGAATCAACCTGTTGGGAAATGCATTGGTTCACAGTGGGGTGATGGTTCTGTGTGAGGACTGGAAACAGCCAACGTGGAACCTGCATGCAAGGGCTGTGAACAACTAAGTCTGATGAAGACTACAGAGAGAAAGAGAAATCTCTACTTGACATTCCTAAGCAGTATGTAAGAGAAAAAGAAATTAAGAGTGCAAAGTCCATTCCAAGAAACCTGGGCATATTCTGACCCAAACCCACATACAAAGGAAAGGGAGTGGGCCCTTACTTTGGCACACTTGAGTGTAAGAATTATGGTTCACTGAAACTCTAATGAGATATGACTTTTCTCAAACCCAGCTCAGCTGTGTTGTGTAAGGTGAATAGGGTTTTTCATTTGCAAACAGAAGACACAAAGTCAGGGATATGAGGGTGGTAGGGTGAGGGTGGAGATGAGGGATGATGTCTGAATATAATAAAAATGTATTGTATTAAAAAAAACTAGCAGCTTCTAGATGAACAAGAGCATACTAATGTAAGCATAAATATGAACCTCAAAAACTTGCTATCACTGTATAAATAAAGGCAGAAAAAGGAAAGGTAGTGTGTGTGTGTGTGTGAGAGAGAGAGAGAGAGAGAGAGAGAGAGGGAGAGAGAGAGAGAGAAAAGAAAATGAGGGAGGTAAGATAAATGTTAGAAATCTAAATGCTCCTTTAAGTCCATGTAAGAAAGTTATATAAAAAAATAAAACTTATTACAGAAACATGTGAACCAAGAAACAACAATATAGTCAGATGACGTGAACTACGCCTATAAATTACAGGGAGGCTAAAGAAGGAGAGTTAGGAGACCAAGGCTACCCTCAACTGCATAGCAAATCCAAAACTGTCCTGTGCTTCATGAGACCCTGTTTCAAAAAGAGGAGGAATGAATGGGAGGGAGAACAGAAGAGAGAGGAAGGGAAAGAGAAAAAGATAAACAGTATAAACATACTCTTTAAAGTACATGGAGGTAAATACCAAAAAAAGTTTAAAATACTATAACAATAAAATAAAATAATAAAAAATGGTCAAATATTAAACCAGTTATTCCTGAGGGACAGTAAGTAACCAGAAATTGAATGGGACTTTGTAAGCTACAGGACTTTTGAGACTTTTCAAAAGTTGAATATGCATAATTATTCACAAAAATAAAATTAAAAACAAGTTTTCTTCTTGAGGCTGGAGAGATGGCTCAGTAGTTAAAAGCACTTGATGCTTTTGCAGAGGACCTGGGTTCAGTTCCCAGCACCCATATGACAGTTCACAACTGTCTGTAACTTCCTCCAGTTCCAGGAAATTTGGCGCCTTCTTCTAGCCTCCAGGAGTACCAGGCACATACATGGCACACATGTATATATGTAGGCAAACACTCATGCACGTAAAATAAAAAAATAATTTTGTAAATGAAAAAGGTTTCCTCAATAAAGTACCTTTCTCCTCACTTAAAATATATTTATAGTTCATAATATAGACTGTAAGTTCTCTCTCTCTTTCTTTCTTTCTCTCTCTCTCACCTTTCTTTATTTTAACTTGTAGAGACAAAAATCATTTCTTGATTTGGCCATCAGATTTCCCTCTTAGAGAATATAGGGTGGTTCAATTGAATGGAGTCTTCTCTCAAGAAGAATGTTTAGAAGAGGTGACACTAGCACAATGATTCCCTGTTCTCAGCAATGGGCAATCACCTTCTCCACACTTCACGGCTTTGAACAAGCTATAAGGAAATAAACTTTTTTAGGAATGCCATATTCCACACGAGATCAAAAGCTGTCACTAAAAGGACAGAGGGTGCAGTGTGCTCTCCACAAACATGATGACAACAGAACAGGTGAAGGAGAGGATGGAGTCAGAGATCACACACAGCAGCAGTCATGGGAGTTTGATTTGGTTGGAACTATAGAGAACAACTGGACAGCTGAGAATGTAACACTGGGAATAGCAATCTAAACAGCTACTACTCCCCTTCCAATCCATCCTGAAAGGCTTCCCCATGACTCCTGAAAGTTTTCCCAAACTATCTGAGACATCCCCCTGCTTTGTGCACATGAGCACTGTCCTCTTCCTTCCTGCCTAGAAGTCCTTACAATCTAGTAAAGGTAGTGATGCTTTGTCTACACCATCCATCTCCCTTAAATCATAATTTTCTAAATGTTAATAAGAATCTCATTGCCTGGAAAAAAACTTTTTCACTTACCAAGTATCACTATCTAGCAAGCACATTCAGCTTGATGGATTCAACATATCCTTTCCCCATTGTGGACTTAAAGTGCACAGGAGACACCAACAGGGGAGTCGATAGAGGCCAGGTAAAAAAGCAGAAGTAAGGTCAGTGGCAAAAGCAAATTTTTCCTTTGAGGATATGGTTTCACAAATCCAAATAAGACTTAGAAATTCTTCTGTGAATCTACCATTTATTCTGTTTTATCAGTCCAAATTTTGGTCACTGTTCTCCTCTACCATCTGTTCATAAGACTCCAAAGATTCTGATGTTCCTGGTGTTCCAAAGGAGCTCCAGATTCTAGCTCCACTTGCCCTGTCCTAGAATCTCAACTCATAAATGACAATACCAGTCATCAGCCTCCAATGAAGTCTGTTGAACCAGATACAAAGTCAATGCAGGAAGGGGAGAGATGAGGATTATGCTACAAAGTGATTCCCTTCAAGAGCCCTCAGGTCACTTTTATTGTAGGGCCCCAGGCCCTTGAGTTCAGACTTCTTTTCACACACAATCCCCTATGGGCCAAGTCAATTTGCCAGCTTCCTGCTTCTTTTTCCCTCAATTGATACCTGTTCCTCTGGCTCCTCCTGATCATTTGATCTCCATTCTATGTGTGTGAATTTGTGGCTCTCTGCACTAGAGGTTTGTACTACCAACCCTATATTCTCTGAGAAATTATTTTGCGGAGAAGTATTTTACCCACTTTAATCAATATTCCATTATTCAAAATCATTGTGCACAATTTGGGGGAGGGGACTGAGGATCAAACCCAGGGTCTCATGCATGCCGACAAGCATTCTATGACTGAGTCACATCTCCATGTCTTACAATTTATTTTAACTATTATCTGTTTTTTTAAAAACATTTCCTCCTAATTAAGATAAAATTTGAAGTTCAATTATCTAGCTGCTGTGATAAAGTTTGTACTTTAGAACCATTGACTAAAGGAATATGTGTGACACTGAGGGTACTGCAGCAGAATATGAATTGTCTTTGGTATGAAAAATACTATTTCCTTGACTGACTAAAACTACTAAAAGCCATTTGAGATTCAAAGTAAAATGCAGCATTATTGACAAGGCTGAGCATGTAAGCCAATGGTAAAGAACTTGCCTAGTATGTACAGGATCTGGGACTGAACCCCAGAAACACACACACACACACACACACACACATAAACACCACACACACACACACACACACACACACACACATACACACACACACACACTGAGGTTAATAAATTTAGTAAGTTTAGGATTCTCTAGTAAGAACTCCCTATCCATGCTCATGCAAGCAATGCCTATTAAACTCTGTGGGTCACAAAAAACAAAAGACAAAAAAAAAAAAAGAGGAAAACTGACTATTTGGAAAGAAGGGGTTCAGTGAGAGAGGAAGGGGGACAAAAGAAAATGATCAAAATACATTATGTAAGGGGCTGGAGAGATGGCTCAGAGGTTAAGAGCAGTAGCTGCTCTCGTGGAGGACCTGGGTTCAGTTCCCAGCACCCACATGGTGGCTAACAGTCATCTGTAACTCCAATTCCAAGGAATCCAATGCCCTCTTCTGACCTCCACAGGCATTTCATGACACAGGTGCACTTACATTACACAAGTAGGCAATGCACTCATACACATAAATAAAAATAATACCCATCCCGACAGCCTCCATCACAAGTGGGTTCCAATTCCTTCTCCTCAGATCCCTGGACTAGCTTCCTAAACCAGACAAACTAAACACCATACCATAGATTCCTAAGTCCCTCCCCAACCCACTCCCCACTGCAAACTTCCCAGCCTCTAGATCAAGCAGATAGACCTGTTCAACCATGACACTAACCAATAGGAGACTGCAAGAACTTGAAACACCCACAAATTTGTCTTCCATACCTGAACAAAAAGTGCCTAAGCTACATAAACCATATTAACAGAACCAAAATTAAATTAAACAAAAGCAGAGCAGAAGTTCCTGTTGGGCACATAACCAACAAAGAACATCTATACACACAAACAGTAATGCAAAAATACAAACAAGCAGGTGTCACAATTCTAATGTCTGACAAAATAGACGTATTAAAACTCATCGAAAGAGATAAAAAAGGTTACTTCATTCTAATCAAAGTAACAACTGACCAAGAAGATATTACAATCATGAACATATATGTACCAAACTCTGGAGCACCCAATTTCTTAAAATCAGTAGTCCAGGACTATAAAACAGAAATTAACACCAACTCAGTAGTAGTAGTAGGTGACTTTGATACCCCACTATCTTCAATAGACAGGACATCTGGACAAAGAATAAACAGAGAGACATCTGAATTAAATGACATTTACATGAAATGGACCTAACGGACATCTACA